ATAAGTTCTCAATTCTGTTCCATTTAAACCAATATTTTTTGTTTCATTATTTCTGCACATATCTGGTAGAGAGGAGAGTTATAAGAGATTATCTTGACATTCCCCCACCCTGACTGTCACTTCTCATTTGCAACGGGGTGTCTTGGTGTGGCGCTGTGGGTTAATGCGCCAGACTGCAAAGCCGTTTGAACTGCAAGGTCAGTAGTTGAAGCTCACCAGCTGTTTCTTGGAAACTCTATAAAGGGTCGCTGTAGGTTGGAACCGACTTGACGACACTTGACAAGAACAACATATTGTTGTCAGAGTCTTGGTGAGGTGCTACAGGATAATGCCCTGGAGTGTGAGGTCAGTTTGAGCTGCAAGGCTGGTGGTTCAAACCCACCAATCACTCCTTGGAAACTGTATGCAGGGTCACTATGAGTTGGAACCAACTCAGTGGTGCTTGACAACAACAACATATTATTGTCAAAAGGTGTCATGATAAGCACATGGATGCTCACTGAAAGGCTGTCTGTTTGAACCCACCAGGTATTTCATGGAATAAAAATGTGGCAGTCTGCTTCTTTAAAGATTCACAGCCTTGGAAATCATATGGAGCAATTCTACCTGTCCTATAGGGTTGCTACAAGTTGGAATCAATTTGATGGGATTTTAAAAAATTGTTGTTTTTTGGTTTGTTTTATGGTATTGTCTGAGTTCATGGGTGGTGCGAATGATTAGTGCACTAAACTGCTAACTGAAAGGTTAGGGGTTCGAGTCTACCTAGAGGCACATCAGAAGAAAGGCATGATATAAGTTTTGGAAAAGAAAGTCACTGAAAACTGTGAAGGAGACAATTTTTCTCTGAAAGATATGGGATTGTCAGGTGTTAGAATCAGTTTGGTGGCAACTGGTAGTTGTTGTTTTTTAGTGCCACCAAGTTGGTTCTGATCATAGCAGCTCTGTATAGGGTTTCTGAAGAGTGACTGGTGAGCTTGAACTGTCTGCCTTATGAATCAGTCCTACTTTGCAATGCAGCCCCTTAACTCGCAGCACCATATACTAGTATTTTCCAAGGTGCTGTTAGACATTCTGCTCATGATACATACAACAATTTTAAGGGGCACATGAGTTATAAAATGTATTGATATTCAACAAGGAAGGCTGGAAGAGATATCAGATAAACACTGGATTGGTAACCACACATTCTTTAGTTTAAACCTACCAGCCCACCAGGTATTTAATTAATATATCAAACTATGTGGCATTACATTGATACTACTGGTTTGTGTAAAAATAAAAGTAAATTAGAACAAATTGCAAACAAATAAAAATAAAGTTAACACACAAGTATGATATAAATTATAAATATACTGATATTGAAAAAATAAACAGAATTAAAGGAAAAGCTATTAAGGGTAAAATAGAAGTGTGCTTGGATAGAACAAGAATATGTACTTCTTAAGTTTATGACCTTCCAAATTTTAGTATTATTACTAGAGAGATATTTATTTTTGTTAAGTGCCATCAAGTCAGTTATGATTCATAACGACCCTGTATAGAGTTTCTGAGGAACAGCTGGTGTGTGTGAACTGGTGACCTGTGGTTCACAGTCCAGTGCTTATCGTATAGCACCACACCAGAGAGATATGTTGTTGTTGTTTTAAGTGCCGTCAAGTCAATTCCAACCCATTGCAACCCTGTTCCAAGGAGCAGCTGGTGAGCCTGAATGACCAATCTTGCAGTTCAAATGATTTTGAAGTATGACACATTAGCCCTCATTGCCACACCAGGACTTTGTTCATTGAGATTATGGACTAAAAGAAAGCAAATATATGATAACAGATGATAAAAGCAAGAGTTTAAGGTAATTTAAGATTTTACAGGGTTTATATATAGAATGCCCTTTTTCAAAATAGTGTATTGAATTTAACTTTAATCCCCTTTGCTTTTTACCTCTAACATAACAAACTGGATTATGCTTAGAAAGGTTTCTGGTGGTATTAAGTGGAGCTGGCAAAGTGGAAGAAAATATTACCT